TGTAGGAGGGGTATGAATGTGCAAGTAAGTCGTCCGAACTTTCTAGTAGCTCAGCTAAGTTGTAAGTATGGGCTTAACTCAGACCGGATGCACAACGGCGAGCATCTGTTGCGTCTGTGTGCGGAGCATCGGCTGTTTGGTGGTATCACCTCTTGGATGTAGCTGACACCGAAGTGCCACTTGTCGTCCACCTACAGCTGGCCAGCGATGTCCTAGATTGATCACGTTGCCATAAATTGCAGATGACGTGGTTGCATTGTTACTAGTTTTAGTATGCCTGCGTCGACTCCGACCATGTGGTACGTTGTCGTCTTTCTATGAACTTTGCCGGGAGACATACCAAGCGCACCCCGCGATTGACAACTAAGAGGTTATCCCATGGCTCGGTCAGGCAAACCTATGATGACGCTCTGCGTATCGAACTTTCGTCCTCTCGCTCTGTGGACGCCAAGATACAGTTAAATGGAATCTCGGTTGCCATGCACGACGCGGAAACCTGTGTTTGCGGCATTTTCAATCGTCACCGAAGCAGTCACTGGATATTCTGAGGGTCAGGGAACTTGCTGGAATGCAGAATAAAACTTCTGGCTATCTCTGAGCACAATGTGACTAGGTGGACGATTAAGTGCGAACTAAAACGGAGCCTGCGTGCTGATAAGGAAGTCTGGTGGACTAGTTAGGCCCAAGAAAAGGAGGTGAGAGCAAGCTTTTCCAGTAGATCCGTACTACTGGTCCCGGGCAATCAGTGCGGGCGCCCTGATACACATTAAGGGACACTTTTGAGAGCACTTTAGTTGGCACCCTGCTTAACGTCTCTTCCTGCTCAGTTAGTGCAGGCTGAGCCACGGCAAGTAATCCTCGAGTCTTCATCATATGCAGAGGTGCAAAAAGCGATCACGGCCCATAATCGTTTTCGAGCTGCTGGTATGCATTTCCTTGCACCAGCACTAAGGATAGTGGTGAGGATCTCTGCAAAGCACTAACCTCCCTATTCGATTAAGTCTAGAGGGAAGAGACCATATCCCACCTGACTAGTTTGAATCGATCAGTGGCAACATACAAGAGCAGTCGCACCGACTCCGCCAACCACAGGGGTACTAGCCTAACGCCGGTGGTGAGAAAACTACTGATCTCAATTTTCGTCCGTCGCCTCACCACGAAACGGAAACCCGAATTAGGGAAGATCAAGTAGGCCTCAGCCAGGATGGTGAGTGTAATAGCAACGTCACGCATCGCAGACCGACAATAGCTGTGTTCCACAATTTCAAACGTGCGTGCTACTCAGGCTATCAATCCATTCTGTTAGATATTATGCGGAAAGGTGTTCCTGTGAAATATGTGGTCATTTTAGGTGCCCTGTACTTGAGCACCACAAGCCGCGTCAGTCTACGATGAATTGTCGGATATCTCTCAGACAACAAGTGGCGTTCGTCAAGGTTGTTCAATTTCCCCATTTTCGTTTACCCTCGTCATTGACTCCATCATGAAGGTTGAGGTGCTACCTGGCGGAAAACTTTTTGATCTTGATTATGCGGAGGATATTGTCTTGCTGTTTAACCATGTTGGGGAGGCCTAGTCAACCCTGAATAACCTCAGATGATCCCATCATTTAGTATGCGCTTTGCGCCTTCAAATTGCTGTGTTGCTGCAGGACCACCAGCCATTTGATGATCTCTTGACTCATGATAACGAGAAACTCGAAGTAGTTGATGATCTCACTTACCTTGGCAGCTACATAAAAGCTAGAACTACATTCCTGAATCTGCGGTGTCGGAAGGGCGTTTTTTTCGTCTGAAAGGCCGTGTTTATAAGGCTACAGTGAGGAATAACCTACTCTATGGGAGCGAGATTCGGCCCCTTCGAACTGTTGATCATCAACACTAGCATTAGCAGTACGCCGGTACACCGTACCGGCGCTTCGCTGCCGCGCAACTACCACCAATTGCAAGTGCGATAAAGATACTTCGAAGGTCACCCGGTCTCTACACAGGCTCGGATCCGCTCCCTCAGGTTACGAAAGCAACAGCAGTACGCCAATACGCAGTACCGACGCTTCACTACCGCGCAACCACCACTAGTCGCACGTTAGCTAAGGATGCTGCGAGGGTCGTCCGGTGCCTACGCAGCCTTGAACCCGCGCCCTCGGATTGCAAGGCAGGCCTGTGATCCTTACGGCTAAGGGCCGCGAAGCATTGCTGATGTCGGATGGCAACGATGATGTAGGTAGGCGTGTGCTAGGCAGTGATAATTATGCTAGTTCCTTAGAACAACTGATAGCACTGAATACACTGCGTTGGCTAAGGCACGTACTACGTATGCCCGGTCACTATTTACCGAGGGTCTTGTTTTGTCTTTCGGATTTATGGTCGCGCAAGGCTCGAGGTGGGCGAAAGTTTAATTAGTAGCAGGAAATGAAGCCACTGACTACAAAACAGTGCCGTCAGTCCGTCTTGCCTTCCAGGTTAAGGTCCACTTGACACGCCTTGTGCTTAACTCGTGACATTACAGGATATGGCTCGCAGTCGGCACCAGTGGCGCGTGTGCTATCGTTTTGTAGTCGGACTGCCTATTTCAAATGTGTGTGAGGTACCTGCGTCGTAATGGCAGATTATGACGCGGGGCAGTGAAAGGCGCAAGGGAGCTGTCTCACCGATGCCGCTTTATTTTTCCACGATGGCCAGATGTTTGTGACGGTATGTCGGTGACAAGGTGTAGGCGCGTCAACCCTGAATGTTTGCTTAGGGCATTAAGGTTTTCAGGTAAGTCCCGCTTTCTATCCCTCTTCTTATTCTTTATTTCATAGGTCCTCATGGTTGTATGGCAGCGAAGTGTCAGTTCAAATGTCTGGTGTACTGCTGTTGATGACGATGTTTAACAACAACTGTGACTCGCCACTATCACTTGCTTCACCCCTGTGGAGCACTGTATACCAGCAGCCTGTTGTCGACTTCATAGAGAGGAATGGGCCATTGTTTGGTAATCAACCAGACGAAAGGCTTATGAACTGATTAGTCAGTTACCAAGTCCTACTGGGCAAGATTCCCTGATTTCGCTCCGCAGACTTGCGGATAGGCTATTCAGCCAAAAGCTCGGGTGGTGTCCTCTAGGATAACTCCTTATTTTGGCTTGGAAAAACGGGTAGTATCTAGCTATCTGGTAGAATCGTAAATTCGGCAAATAGTACTACGTTAATCTCCTTCTCCTTCCTTTTCCACTGCTCACGTACCTCTCACAGCAAACTAACGTTCGTCAATAATTCTCGTTCCCTTGTATCTACTTCCGACGCCAGTCCTACCGATGCCCGAAGTCCCTACTTCGACCCCGATCCTTATTCAGACTGGCAGCCTTCAACGTTTGAACCCTTATGTAGACCGGACAGTAGGCTGGTCTAATGCACCCTTCGAGTCTTTCGCTATCGATGTTTGTTACCTCTGAGATCCGATCACAGAAATTTAGTCCGGCGGTTAAGTTGAAGTCTACTGCACCTGTAGCTGGATTGGCTGGTGTCAGCATCGCATTGAGTGACAAAGCTGAGGCCGCACTGCTAGATTGGTGTCCGATTGAAAGCCGGTTGTGTGTGATTCGGTTCCAAGACTAATGCAAGATTAGTAGACATCGTGCAGACGTAATTTGTTTGTGATTTCCAGCTACGCTCCAACCGACTACAGCAGTGCACCGGTTAAGGAGAACTTTTGTTTAGGACTACACTAGCTTTTGCATAAAGCTGAAAAATCAGATGTTGTACTTACGAAGACCTCAATGCACTGGTTGGTCGCCTGCTGCCACGTGAATCTCATTCTGGTGGCCGTCATGACCTTAATTAGGGTTGTTCTAACAACGGAAATAGACTTCTCCCGTTATAGAGGATAACCGCCTCTTTCTCCCGAGCACGAACTCCAAACATTCGAGCGGACGCGAGGCCATCTGGCGTCCCTCTTCGCCAACAGAAGCGTTATCACACTATAATCTGTTTCAGATGGCGGCGCAGTGTACAGGACTGCAGAAGGATTTGGTTCACCTACCTCAAATCATGCTCTGGTTTGTACGGGCATGTACATGCGTTTTAGTGGTTCCTCGAAACCAAACCACCATATGCTCGATATCAACAGGCTAGCTAAACCCTCTATCCAACTACTTTATCAGATGCGTTCGCTGATGTTCCACCTCAATACGACAAACATCAGTAGAGTTTCTCACAGAAAACGTTGCGTAGAATCATTGGGCGTCCTATGAGAAGCTGGTTCTCTGCTCGTTCTTTTGGAGTTGTTTGACCGTCACCAAGCTATCGCAGCCGATTCGAACAATGGTGAAGTCCGTCGTAAAATCAGCCAGCAACGCAAGAAAAGCCTGGGTAGTGGTTGCGAAAGTTGGTGATGTTAGAGCGCTTCAGAGATGGAGGCGGTAGCTCTCCGGAAACTTTCGCACACTTTTCCAGATCTGGCGTGAGTAAGCCTATTTGTGAGATCAATGGGTCACTAATTACTAATTTGCATAGGCGTATGGACCGTTGGGCTGAGCACTTCCACTCCCAAATCAGTTGATCTCCTTCCGTCTGTCTAATAAATATATCCAACTGCGTGCCTTGGAGCGGGGGTCCGACATAACTTTCGTCACTTGAAGCGAATCAAAGGTGCTGGCTCAAACGGAATTCCGCCGCAGCTAAGTACGATAGGAAAGCAATTTTTAACCGGTTAACAGCTCCGTTCTCCGAGAGTTGGTGAGAAAATAGGTTCCATATTTTTGGAGCGAGTCGATTATCGTCCTGATCAACAAAAAATGTGCCCGTATCTTACGCACCAGATACAGATGAAGCAGTCTAATATTCGTTGATTCAACATCCATTCTATTCCGCAGACTAATACTAATTCGGAAACTGCACGTCCGTGAAGAACAGTTTAGTTTCCGCCTCGATCGAGGGTGTGTAGACCAACGCGCAAGCGAGATACGTTTTCAACGGCCAAAGAGAAAAGGTAGATAAAAATGAGAAACTGAGGACGCACCTCAGACGATTCCTGTACTAGAGATTGAGCAACAGGGAGTTGTCGTTCCTGTACAGTTCGTGAATTCACACCGCTGAGAGGAACTCTGGCGCAAGGTGTGTCTCTACTCGTCCAAGACATGTAGTTTTCCTGCAACATGAGAGAGATGTAGACCAACTCACTTTCTCCTCAGGGTCATTTGACTTCGGTTTCATTAAAAACAAGTTCGGAAATTTTTTCTTAAGTTTATACCAATTAGTAGATACGGATAGCAGTGTGATTCGATCGCACACTGGAATATACCCTAGTATGCGCTCTAGGAGGTAGCCGGTATGATCAAAGTCCATTAAGACTGAGACAATGTCTAATCGACGCTTTCCTCTGTACCTGAAAGACATGAACTACAACAAACCACAAGCTTACGACTGTCTGCCAACTGAATGCGGAAGATCCGAGCTCCGTCGCGCACTTTCTCCGACGCACCAGGGTGAACACGTCGTTGCTGAATAATACCCACCGTCAGATAATTCGAAGGCAGAGGATACAGTTGGACTGTTTGGGTCTATCTTTCGCTTCTGATTTGGCGTTGAGCTGCATATACACCGCCCACCGGAGCCATCCATTGTGGTATCCACAGACTTGAGTGTGAAATGAAATGCTTTCACTAGGCTAAAGGGAAATTGAGAAAACGTCTCTAGATTAAGTCAGTGTGGCCAAGCTATTTGTCAAGGATGAGTGGAAAGCGATGTGTACCGACAATGATGAAGGAAAAGCGGAAAATGTGCGGAAGCGAGTGGCAAAGCGATTCAGTACAAACATAAGTGAAGGATGTCTAATATTCACACCTGAAGGGTTTACGGAAGCGTCAGGTCTTTAGTAGAGATATAGAAAGTTTTTTTTTGACAAAGCTGTCACTGCGCACTGGTTTCGCCGGTGGCCGAAGGGATGAGGCGTCTGCCTTGTGACTCCAAAATCGCAAGTTCTAATCTGCATAGATGCGAGCAACCTTTGTTTCCGTAGCCCCCGCGCGACCAGAGGTGGTCGTGTGGCAGCAGAGCGTAGGTGCGGTGCACAGGTGTGCTGCTTGTACGTTTCGTACTTTGTAACCAAGCCAAAATCAGAAAAACCTAAAGGTTTGATCATTTGTCCCTTCATTTCTATAAATACGACAGATAGCAGTAATTGTTACTCTGATGCAAACGATCAGGGTACCACTGAGGGCCACCCGGCACGTCTTCTGTGGTAGCTTCTCATCACCACCACAATTCCATGTCAGCTAGGTGTAAAAAAACATCATAGCAGTTGTTTCACATTGCAATTAGATTAAGTGGTTGTAGAAAGGAATAAAAGGAAAAACAAAACATTTCATTTAGCATCAAAGCAGATCGTGGCTAGAGAGATAGGCTAAGCGGGATGGCGAGATATATAGAAACTCACAACACAAACGCCATATCAACAAGTATGTTCAGCCAGAGGACCGAGTACTTCAAAGACCAGTCTACGTGACCACTGCACAACCGACTCCATATTCCGGGATTCACAGTGCTCCATGGTGCGTGAATGTTTTGCCATCGACTGAGGCTGAGGGTTCTTATGAGGTTCCCCTGCTAAAGCGCCACAATTCACCTGGCACAGATGAACTTCCTCCTGCCCTCTTCAAATATGGGAGTCCTGTTCTCATATGTGAACTGATATTCCTCTTCGATCATATTTGGACAACCGAAACCACCCCGCCGATGGGAGATTAGCGCATGCTGTACCCGCCTACAGAAAAACGAGACTGAACCGTTTGCTCCAGTCACTGTGGGATCAGTCTCATTTGTGTTGCATCAAAACTGCTCTTGCAGTGGATCAGTTGCGTACAGGAACAGCACCCGCGTGAAGAGCAACCTGGGTTTCGCCCTACTGGCAGTTGCGTCTATCACATCTTGACGATCTGCCAGATACTTGTACACTGCCATTCGTTCAGTCAATCAACCATAGTTGTGGTGGATATCCGAGCCGCATTTGATTACGTTCACAGAGTGCCTTTTCGGGACTGCTTACTGAAGAGAGAAGTATCTTAGGAGCGCGTCAGCATTCTCTGTGCTTTTTACTACTAAACCTCAGGCCGTATGCAAGTATACGGAGACTTTGCTCCTTTCAGTATCACTAGTGGTGTCATACGGTCACCCAACCTCTCCTTGTTCAACTTCACCACGGACGGAATCCTGAAGACTGTCCTGGAAAACTGAGTCCTGCGGTGTTGCACTGCTCCCGAATGATCGCTTTTGGGACTTGGAGTACGTAGATGACATTGCTGTGATTTGTGAGTCTGCTCAGGACACCCAGCATGTGGCGCATAGGCTAGAGATGTCCCCTAGATTTGAGTTGACTTCTGCCCCTTCCAAACATAAGGTCCAGTCACAAGACTGGCCAAGTGCGTCTCCTTTACTTGCCCTTTCAGTGAATCTTTCGGAAGTAGTCGACAAATTCATTTATTTGAAGGATGTTTGTGAGTAACGTAAGTTTCGTAGAAGGCAGAAGTCACGATTAAACTCCACACGAAAATCTGCCTCGACGGGGAATCGAACCACGGTCCACGAATTTCCGGTCCGCTGCTCTACCACTGAGCTACCGAGGGCTGGCGATTAGGTGCGGAATTCAACACGTGACTTCTCGGTAGCTCAGTGGTAGAGCAGCGGACCGGAAATTCGTGGACCGGGGTTCGATTCCCCGTCGAGGCAGATTTTCGTGTGGAGTTTAATCGTGACTTCTGCCTTCTACGAGACTTCCGTTACTCACAAACATCCTTCAAATAATCTACCACCGCCCTTTGGACTTCGGATGGACAGTTACTTCGGTCCACTGAGAAGTGACGAGTGAGTGAGCCGATCTGCAACAACAGGACAGTTACTGTGAGCTCATTGGCAATACGTCGCGCACCAAGCAGAAGTCACGTGTTAAATTCCGCACCTAATCGTCAGCCCTCGGTAGCTCAGTGGTAGAGCAGCGGACCGGAAATTCGTGGACCGGGGTTCGATTCCCCGTCAAGGCAGATTTTCGTGTGAAGTTTAATAATGACTTTGCCTTCTACGAAAATTCATTTATCTTTGGAGCTGTCTTAATATGGGTGGTCTGATGAATGGGATTTCTTTGTGTGTCTCCAGAGCTAGTATGATCTTTCTAACCTGTCATTACCTAAGTCTCGCTCTGAAGGGTCGAGTCCACAATACTGCAGTACGAACGGTTCTGCTGTGTGGCTGCGAGACTTGGTGCAAGCAGCGGCTATCTGTCTTCGATCACTGCCGTCTGCAGAGCATTACTGGTGTTCGACGGCAGCATCACATCAGTAATGAGGAGGTTCGACGGTGAGCCTTGAGAGCTGACAAACTCCGTCGACCGATTGACAGCATTATTTCGCTGCGGAGGTTTCGCTGGCTTGAGCACGTGCTCCGTATTCTTACCGAGCGGCTACCATGACATGCTTTAGTTGCGAGCGCAGGTGTGAACTGTAGGCGACGACAAGACCAACGTAAAAGCTGGATCCAATGCGTTAAGGCGCAAACATCGAAGCTGGCTGTTGCTGGACGTTTCCGACTGCCGGGTAGGGGACCCAAGGATCGCGAGCACATGGTTGTAAACGCTACTGGATTGGGCCAAGGACCGTACGCAAAGGCGCAACTGGTTTAAGACCCTACTTCTCTAACAGTCGTTTTTACCTCAACTACTTTCTTCTCTCTTATGGGTTGTAACAGCCAAATGCGTTGTAATTAGTAAAGAACTGCTATGGTGGGCATATATATGCTTGGCGGCATCCGATTTCGGATTTGCCTGTCACTCTGGCCAGCCACAGGACGCCTGTGCCTACAGAGGGACCATGGGTGGCTTGCGTTGCACCACCCACAGCTCCATCCACACACCCCATATCCAATGTAAACCCGAAGGAATAAGATCGGGAGACATGTGGATGGGAGCCACGTTTCATCAACGGAGCCGGCCCACACTCCTTCAAAGGCAAACAAAATCACGCTGTATTTGGGGAATCAAGCGCACATATTGCGGTGGCTGGACCGTAGTCCGCTCCACACTGAGTGCATGGAATCATTCTTTGATCCCAACACGGCCACAAGGACCATGCATCCCGTCCCCTCCAGCAACGACCAACTGTCTCCTAGAGTCAGTATGGACGAGGTAGTGGGTAATAGACAGGTAGGCACCTTGTCAACATGCACATCAAGCGCAGCCACACCGGGGATATCAAGGAACAGCCAATCACTTGAGAGAAACATAGCAAGTAAAATAAATCGAGTAATGCATAAGGAAACGCTGACATAAATCTTAAATTAATGAGCATATGAAATAAGTTATTTACAAAAGAATTCAAGATATGTTCACGAAGTCGGAAAGTGTATTTTACGGAAATGCCAAAAACATGAAAAGGTTATTGAAATTAACTACAATTGGCTTAAGCGAAGTGTGCAAGTCTATAGAAGAGGGTATAGATAGGTATTTATATGAGAAGGAAAAGCATTAGGACAAAATGGTAAACCCACCAACTGAAATAAATACACTTAGCATGCAAGCACGCGGTTACTAAGTCGAATGCAGCGTACATACAAACGCTGCGCCGGTTCTGCCTAAGTTCTCTGCATGACCCGTCGTCGCTTCGGCTCACTAGGCCGGCCTGACTCAGGCACTCGCGACCGCATGTGCTACAGCACCATGCGCTCGATGTCGATGGAGTACAACACATCGGTGCTTGCCGCTTCTTCTCTGCATGTTTGAGGTCTATCTTCCGCACTTCGGCAACTGCCTTCATAATTAGATCGCGCCATGCACGCCGATCAACCGCCTTCGATTCCCATGACCCACAATCAAGATTAAAACTTGAGAGGCTCACTTTGATCATGTCCTGGTAACGTAAATTTGGTTTCCCCACATGCCGATTCCCAATACTCAGCTGAGTTGTTTTGGTATCCGCGTCGAACCCATACGGCTCAGATGACCGAGCCACCTCAGGTGTCTCAGCAAAAGTATGCAGTCCACTGCATACATCCCACGTTGTCGCAACACTTCCGTGTCAGCAATTCTGTTGCCCTAACTGATGCGCAACATTCGTCACAAACGCTGCTGATGGAACCGCTCGAGATATCGCACATCCCGACGGTACATCGTCCACATTTCACTGCTTATAGAAGAACGGACAGCATCAAGAATTTGCACACGATCAGCTTCGTGCCAATGGTAAGCTGATGGTTGTTCCACACTCGGTACTCAAGCTTCCCGAATGCCGCCGCTACCTTTGAGACGCGGATACGCAGCTCACTGTGTAGCTGCTGATCAGTCGACATCACACTCCCAAGGTAGCAGAAGTGGGAGGTGGTTTCCATTCCTTAAGCGCCAATGCTGATTCGCGGCAATATTATAGACTGCACCTCCGGTGAAGGCTAAAAGACAGTTTGGCTTGTGTTGTTGGTGAGCCCGAATTTTGTCGCTGTCGAAGCCAGAGCACTAGCCATGTGCTGCAACTCATCCGCGCTGTGTGCAAACCACGCACAGTCGTCAACAAACAGCAACATACGGATAGTTGTCTCACAGACTAGAGTTCTCGCACCGAAACGACGGAAGTTCAGCAACCCACCATCAATACGGTGCTCCACACGAACCCCGTAAGCACAAGCCGCATCA